CTTATTCTATTTCTTGATATAAAATCCCTGGTGTTTTGGTTCTTGTTTCATTATGATGTGGATACCTAAGGATGGAGAGTTTTAGTTGATAACACTGCTCCAATTTTAAAAATGGGTGACAAGAGTTCCCTAGAAATTATAGGACAATTATTCCTACTTTTGTAGTACAAAAAAAGAAAATCTAGAGAATGATTAAAAAAGGCTTAAGAAACTTTGCAAAATCATTTAATGAAATAAGGTAACATAAAAGAGAGCCAACATAGGTTTACCAAAAGGAAATCTTGCCTCATTAATCTGTTAATGTTTTTTTTAGGATGTTACTTGCCATCTAGATGAAGGAAAATGTGTGGACTTGATGTACTTAGGTTTTTGAAAAGGTGCCACAAAAAAAGACAACCTAAGAAAATCACATTAGTAGGAGTTGGGGAAATACTAGTTAAGGAGTAGTTGGAGGAGACAAAGCAAAATATTATTATTAATGGACTCTAGTCACAAGGGTCCTTTGTTATTAGTGATGTGCATCAGGGGTCAGTTCTTGAGCCTCGACTTTATCTTATTTAGATGAATGACTTTGAAAGGGCATTATTAGTAAATTAGTAGCATTTGTTATTTCTAGCTGTATTAGGAGGGTGGGAAGAAGCCTAGAGAAAGTAATTGAACAATTAAGAGATAATTCATCACTCCCTATTCTCATGCACCTGAAGCTTGCTTATGTAACAATTACTAACTGCAAAAGAATGCATAAATTACAAGGCAGCATCTTGCGAAGTTTCCTATAATGCCTCGAATGAAGAATACTTAATGTCATCTTGTGCCTACCCCTTTAAGAATGTAGAAGTATTACAGAAGAACTTGGATCAACTGGTAAGTTGGACAAATATATGGCAAATTACCTTTAATTAAAGTAAGATCAAGATAATACTTTAGGATTATCATAACTTGGATCTCTTGTGTTATATAGATGGGAACTTACTCAACAACTGGTGTGATTGTGGTGGTAGATAGTTGCTTAAGTCATTGAGGTAATGCTCTGTTGTTAGTAGTGTGGTATCTCAAGGATTCCTGGCAAAGCAGAGAGGTCCAGGTTTACAAAAACAGGAGGTTTGCAGATCTTATATGCGAGTTTGTTTTGTGAAAGGTTTGAGGATTGGGCAACAATGAATGAGACAGGACATGCAGATGTATGCAAGGAACCAATATTTAACCAAGATGTTTAGTTTAAAGAAACAGTAAAGCACTCTTATACAATACTAGGCAAATGATCATGATAAAAAAAAAAGTATGAGTTTACTATCAAGAGCAAAAAAGACTTTAACAAATAATATGCTCTTGTTAGTGTGTGTTCTCCCCCCTGTAACTAAGGCTATCATATAAAAGTGAATTACAAACAGTGTGTGTCCTCAAATTAAAATGTAGCATAACAAAATAAAATTTTGCATTAACCTTACAAAATAACAATAATACCGTTGCGTCAGCGAGGTCACGTGACTAGTATCACACCACGTCCTTCTCGAACCTTCGTGAATTATTGGGAGACTACTAGATTGGGGGTAGTCTGGTATATATAAGCTGGTCACAACATGACGGAACAATGAGTAATTGAACTGCAGTCAGAGAGTGTGTAATTGAACTCGAGCACGTGAGACATTTGTTATAGAGCGACTGTTGAAATTAAGTGTATCGGTAAAGTTGTATTCGGAAAGAATAAACCAGTTTTATTTAAGAAACGACTTGTGTCACTAAAGTTTAGTCGGAACGAATTTAAGGAAAATCAACTAATGAATAGAGACGTAACAATACTGCAAACTTTAAATAAAACCTATGCTCCACTATTCTGTAGAGCAGCTTATACACCATTTGCTCAATAAACAAATAAAAGTCAAACTACATCCGATCAAACGAAGATGAAAGTTAAGTTTGAAGTTGTAAGAAAAGTTGAAGAATTCTAAGAAAGAAATACCATAAAAAATATACAAACCAGTTACTGGCAATTGAAAGTGAGAGAACTTTAAAATTTCTAATGTAGAAGTTGAAGTTATAGAAACATGGCTTGAGTCCAAAATGGATCTAGCTCTGTCATTATGCTAGAGATCTCTAACATTTACACAAGATCTGAGAAAAGTCTATGAAAAAGCTATGTAAAATCTGCCAAAATCTGGGAAAAACATCTACTCTATCAGACCCCAACACTGTTATAAATGTGATAGAAACCTTTGAGTTTTGGACACAAGAAAACAGTGATGATAATGGGTGAATCCACCCACAACTACCGCCTAATTGTCATACAAGAATACCTTGGTGTGCTAATTAAAAAGCACTTTGTATTCCTCCATGAGAATCAGAAAGAAAGCACCAAATCTTCACTTAACCTAAATAATTTTGCATTGTAATTACAGATACGTTGATTAGAAGTTAAAAGAGGTAATTATCTCCAAATACAAATTAGTTAGGCCTCAGTTATAATATTTTGTATAGTTTTGGTCTCCTCATATAAGAAAGAGTCTTGACATTTTGGAAGAGGTTAAGAAGAGGGCTACTAAGATGAATCTGGAGATGGAAGTGTTATCATATGTAAATAGGTTTAGATCTATTAACTTATTTGTTTTGGGGAAAATTAGGATAAGAGTTAGTCTTATTAAGGTTTACAAGATTATCTAAGGATTGAAAAGATAAAGGCCCCTGATTTCTTTTTTACTGAATTATGAAGACAACTTTGTAAGAAGACACAAATATAAGATTTGGAAAAGACGGGTGAGGCTTTAGTCAAGACAACTTTATTTTTCTAACAGGGTGAATAACTTAGGAATTAATTGTCATCAGCAGTATTGGAATCTACAACCTTACAAAAGTTTAAAAGGGAATCAGTGATTTCCTAAAAAATAAAAGGAATGCTTGATTTATATTTTTACTGGGGCAATTAGTGTGCAGGAACACAGTTATGTACCAAAGCAGTTAATTTTCTCTAATAATATAGTTAATCTGAAAAATTATATAAATTATAATATTAATGGAATTCATAATACAACATGACTAAATACAGAAAATAATGGTTAAATATTGCCCATACTTCAAAAGAGTCGTTTCCTCATACTGTGGTCATAAACCAACAAAATAGTTTTATCTTTACAAAAATGGATTTATCAAAATCTTGCTTAATAGTAAGAGATAATGGATATAATGAGCACACAGGTCTACATGATACCAAACAAAGGTAAAGAAGTTATCTGTAGGCCACATGATTTGCATTCTGGGCTGTGGAAACCTTTAAGGTGAACTGTAAATAAATAAACCAATTATTTGTTTTTCCACACTAGTCTACCTTCCTGTGTCTAATATAACCAAGGTTTACATTCACTACGTTTTATAATATTATACCTTCAGCCTAACTTGAATAGTCCCAAAGAAGAAAATGAAGAATCAGGTAATATAGCACATACTTTTAAGTATGGACTCATTTTTATTACATTTAGTTTTCTACTCTTTGTAAAACTACACATGTACCTTAAGAAGTGAGTGAACATCATTTTGATGCAGTTTCACTTGCTCAGCATCTTTTCTCTTGAAATAAGATTTTCCAGTCAATTTCTGGAATATCCATTTTTTGCAACTTTAATGTCAATTAGAAAAAGGGGTTGAAATAAAGCATTTCTGGACTTGAAGCTTTAATACCGTTACAACTAAGGAACAATTCAATCTTTTTTTATTAGTGGAAACCAGAAATACTGAGAAAGAACCAGGCAATTAGGATTTGATATATAAACCACAATAAAAACCGAGATGTTCGTCAGTGAAGGGTTTAAAACAAACATTATATATATATATATATATTTTCCTTTTCTAATGGAATAAGCAGTGCACTAGTTAACAATGTGGAACTCCATATTGTAATGAAAGAAATGCACACTATAATTATACACTAATAAATATAATGTGAATTTAACTACTTCATTGATCAGTCATGAAATAAATGAAAATTAAGATCTAACAATAACTAACAACCAACTTTACCAATGGTTTATGGAGATAATATTTGTCACAGGGAGAATTAGTATGGATGTTATTGTACACATGTTCTTCCACTGGGGGTAATGTCAATCAGTGAACACTTACTCTCAAAATGTTCTCCTTTGCCCATGATTTGTTAATAAAATTGGTAAAATTGATATTTATTTTAACAATGGAAACAGCACTCCCCTCAATTCAAGCACTGTAATATAGTAATAGATATACTTGTAAATATGGTATTATTTACTGTATGATGAGAGCTTCTGTTCATAAAATATTCACATATCAAGCTTGTAACTAATTTTTATACTACCCCACTCACAAAAGCTTTATTTTTTCTCTGTTATAATCATATTCATTTCTTTGTATTCAATATGTAAATAAAATAGTATGTATAATATTATAAAACTAAGTGCAATATAGTGCTCCAATAAATTTAAGGAATATGTCATTTTAGAGTAGATTTGTTCTGAAATTGAATAACCACAAGAAAATTTTTATAATACCATAAGAAAGTACAAGGACTCTCACTCCGATACTAGTAGGCTACAATTATTTTCAGTGAGAATGAGTCCCAGCTTCATTGTTTTCATATTAAATAAAATGATAAAGGAAATTAAAAATCATTCTCCAGAATACTAGAAACAAGATATTTATATAAAAAATTATAAAATAAATTATTTTAAGTTAAACAGATCATGTCACAAAATAAACTATTATACAATATGAAGTTTTCCTGGAATAAAATTAAACAAAGTTTCTGCTGTTTACATTGCAGAGATACAAATCAACCACTAATAATATTAATAATAATAGTGATATATAATATAGACTATAGCAATAGCAGTCTCGCGTTAGGCTTATCACGCTTTTAAAGTTATAACCCGTATACACATAGCTAAAACAAAACGAGAACCAAACTCAATTTTAAGAACAAAATAACGGTTACGAATGAAGCATTATTAAATTTTCATGAAAATTAAAACTTGACTCACCATTTTAACTCTTCCCTTAAATACAACTGCAAAAGCTCCATGTCCAATGAGATCTTTGGTATTATATTCGTAGTCTCCTACACTCTCCATGACTTGCTTTAACTTTTTTAACACGTTATAAAATTAGCTTATTAATTAACTGACTCTCAAAAATTAAGGCTATTGAACTAATAGTATTAATATAATAAACATATAATGTTCCTCATAAAAAGAAAACTCGCAACACAAAGGGCATGTTCCGTTCTGTTTACACATTTTCTATGACAACTATAGAGATTTTCAAATTAAAGGCCTATAGTATTAGCAGCACGAAATAAACTTACAAACACTTCGTTTCAATTGCAATTGGTGCATGCTTGTAAAAGTATAAGAACTGAAATTTCAGTCTGAAAGCCAGCTATTAATGCGCCATCACTTAACAGGCTTAAACACTAAAATATGTGAGCAATAAACTAAGGTTGTTTCATCACATAGGCGGATATTTAGTTATTTATTTTTATCAATAATATTTTTATTTTATGTATTTATTTATTTATCGCCAAGATATACATAATTATAACTCAAAAGTGGAAAACTTAATGCATAATACAGTCACAGCACAGTCAAAAATTACTTCCCCAAAAAATAAATTAACGCATTTTACATACATACTGGTTTCTAATAATCCGCCCCCCAGTGGCACAGCGGCATGTCTGCGGACTTACAACGCTAGAATCCGGGTTTCGATATTCGTGATGGGCAGAGCACAGATAGCCCATTGTGTAGCTTTGTGCTTAACTTCAAACAAACAATTCTAATAATCCATGTTCAGCGTTAATTTCATTGTAACATGAGAATAAGATAATATTGTAAAATGAACTATACTTGTTATAAGACATTAGTATTAGGATTATTTGTAATAAAAAAGTCGGGATTGAAAGATGAGTGGACACGTGAATTCTGATTAGTCAGAAGTTTTGTCAAAAGGTTTTTAATCGGCTCTTGCATTTGAAAAACGCTCAGCTATGAAAATTTACCATTATCAAAGATCATGCATCCTTGAGATGGCTAATGACATTAAAGGACCCAGTGTCTAGATTTGATAGAGGGCAATTACTGCTGCAAAATTATGATTTCGAAGTTGTACATAAACTAGGTAGAAATCATTTGAATGAAGACACCTTAAATAGAATAAAAATTGAAAACATAGAAGACAATGAAAAACAAGCAATTAATAACATTTCAGAATTAAAATCAGAAATTGATGATAATTATGAAGTATTCTGGGATTTAGACCATGTAATCGTGAACAGAAGAAAGATAAGATGGGGAATGCCATCAGAAATAAAGTGTTACAGGGAGAAGGTACAGAGTACATGTTAGATAATTTAGTGGTATGCAGAAAAGGAGCAGATAAATGGCATATGGATAATACATTACATATACCGTATTTTTCGGTGTATAAGACGCACTTTTTTACCCCAAAATTTGATGTCAAAATCTGTCTGCGTCCTATACGCCGAAGGTATGAATAATATATATGTATATATACGATATACACAAGCCATGTGTAAATATATTTAAATAGGCATGCATAGTTTGGTTCAATTGAATGTGTTATTTATAACAACAGTAGGTTT